TCCGACAGATGTTTGCGCCACAGACGATAAAAGGCTAACAGTAACCCAACATCATTTAAGAATAATAACTATTTTAATAGACTTTATGTTCTGAAACTTCCCCGACATCGTTTAAACTTTCAACTGTCATAGAAACCTTATGACATAGTTAGGATTGGCTTGCAGAAATGCATATGGTTCTAACTTTTTTGAGCAGTCTGGATGGAGAATAGGTTACGGATTGGAAATGGAACCTTGAATAGGTAGTCTAAATCTTACCTCTATGTACAATAAAGGAAGCAAGAAGCGGCAAACTGGAAAGAACGACCACCACTGATATCATCAAAACATATGCTTTTGTAGTCTATAATATGCATTTATTTATCCGTAATTTTATCACGAGTCCTTTAATACAAGGTTATTAATGATATGGTATATGACAGATATCTTCAGACAGCAAACAAATGCCAAGAGATAACCAGGGCAATGTTTATGCCGACAAAGTCATTAACAAGGACTGGATTAGTTATCGGATGAAGTAACGGCCTCTCTCTCTCTCTCTCTCTCTCTCTCTCTCTCTCTCTCTCTCTCTCTCTCTCTCTCTCTCTCTCTCTCTCTCTCTCTCTCTCTCTCTCTCTCTCTCTCTCTCTCTCTCTCTGACAATTTGTTCAAAATTGGACCAAATGTAACAGGCCATGCAAGTAACCTACGTGATATTGCTCAAATCTGTACAGATTTTTTTTTTCATTTTTATTTGTATTTTTGTTTTGGGTGACAAAATACACGCACGGACATTATGATAAAATACATGAATTGTGTATAAGATTGGCATAAGACTTTTTGAATATCATTATTACTGTATTCTGTGACAAAGGTTTTTTAAAGATATTTCTTTACCAATTAGCTTCTTTGCTGTTTGATAAACGGTAATTATACAGCTCCATTGAATTATTTTAATTAATGACTCATGTTACACCTTAATTTTATACATAAAGTCTTTGTGCGCTTTTATCGAGCCATAAATAGCCGGAAATAGGACTTTTATCTGGAAAAAATATTGCCTGTTGGATCGGTCGCTGCTAAAGTTTTGTTAAAAATAGCAACAACAACAACAAACAAACAACACAAAACAAACAAAAGCAAGAAATCAAAAGTTATCTACACTCGTTATTTATATGTTTGGTTTTGCAAATTAAATACTTTTTAATTTGAAAAGATAACATATATCGCCAGTAACTGAGTTATACGCATTTAATTGTATCTATTTATCTGAATATTTTCGAAAATGCTAACACTGACTCAAAATAGACTGCAAGCGGTACTTTATTAATTTTGCTTTGTACTTTTCAATTATGTCTTTAACCTTTTAAGTTAGTGACCAGATTCTGATTGAGGGCAAATCCTTTAGTCATCATATATTCATCAGTAAAGTTTCATTATAATATCGCAGGTAGTTAAAACGTTACAGATCAGACACATAAATTGAATGACGTTTCCATTTCATTCACCCCAGAAACCAGGTACCTGGTTGTTTCCGAAACTTTCCCGATATCGTTTAAACTTTCAACTATCATAGAAACCTTATGACATAGTTAGGATTGGCTTGCAGAAGTGCATATGGTTCTAACTTTTTTGAGCAGTCTGGATGGAGAATAGGTTACTGATTGGAGATGGAACATTGAATAGGTAGTCTAAATCTTACCTCTATGTACAATAAAGGAAGCAACAAGCAGCAAACTAGAAAGAACGACCACCACTGATATCATCAAAAAATATGTTTTTGTAGTCTATAATATGCATTTATTTATCCGTAATTTTATCATGAGTCCTTTAATACAAGGTTACTATTCATTATGTATGTCTTGATAAGTCAGGTTCCTTCAACTATTTCCAGACGTTCAAAAGTAGGAAGACACGAAACAAGTGACAAAGTGGGGTGAGGACATGGCCTCTGAGCTAGGAAGATGACTGTGGTTCTTGTCGTTCAATATCGTCCGGAAGTTTCATTAAAATATATCGAATGTTCCAAAACGTCCAGACCAGATATAGGAATTGGTGCCACGGTGACAGATGACAGAGTTGCAAATCCCTTGTTATGATCTGTCAAAAGGGAGCTATTATTTGTGACATGTCATCAGGTCGAAATATGCATCTGTGTAATGTTTTATAAAAAAAAGCCTTCGTTATATTAACAAGTCTCACTTATACAGGTGTAAAATTAAAATCCTTGTTTTGACCATAACCTTTGAGCAAGTGCGCTGACTGGTAGACGACACCACGTCGAGTAATGTTATAAAAACAGGCGATGTTTTATGGGCATATATCCAGTAATTTATAAATTAAAGATAAGACACACACACATTAGTCCCAAAGAAACTGGTGAGAGAGTTGTGTTGTTCCTTGTTGCTACATTGAGTTTTGAGTTTGAAAACTATGATAAACATCACGACGTCTTCCAGTGATGAATTTGGTCAATTATCTCTATTAATTTTAAAGTTTCGTCTCGTGCACAAAAAAAAGTAATCATCAACCATTATTTATTTATTAAAATAATGATCATAACAATATATCACTGGCACGACCGACTATGACACTTTATCTAATATTATTGGATAAAGAATCGACGACTCATGGTTAACGAAGAAATCGGGCTATGTATTCTGTCAGAGTTAAGAGGCTAATGAAGAACGAGAAACTTCGATCTGAATAAAAATGAATGTTTTACTCATGAAATATACTGATCTGATGACAAGAAGGAAGAAAATTGGAATTTTAAGGATTGAATGATCATGGTATTTATCGAAGTGTAAATTTTATTTGGACTTTATTGATTTTGTGTGATTAGGTAAACTTTACACATCGTTGTATGAATGACATATTCTTGATTATCATTGGACAACCAAGATATGTTGTATTATCATGGACAATGATAATTTTAGCGATTTTATTTAATTGATAATTGTATCTTTTGCAGGCTGGATGTGAAGTACGAGTCCGTTTTAATATGCACGCTTGTATGCCATATATTTAGTTATATTTTGAGTTATCTATATTTTGTTTAGTTTGATCATGTGAATTACGTGTGGCGGGTGTTTGCTTATATTTTTCTGTTTTTGAGGGTTTTCTTCTTTGATCGCGAACATGAATAAATAACACGATATTTTTTTAAATGAGGAACATCGAGAATTTTATTTAAAATGCTACATCGATACTTTAATTGGACTGAAAATAGGTATTATCATCCATGTAATTTTACCCTTACAAAAGAAACAGTTTTTACTTGAAATCTCTGATAATAAAAAACTGAAACTCAGATGATCTGAATTTGTTTATTTTGCCATTGATGCAACGCATTTATAGATGTAGAATTTTAAATAATAAATATACTTATGCATCTGTGAACAACATATGCAATGCGCGATATATATATATATATATATATATATATATATATATATATATATATATATATATAGAGAGAGAGAGAGAGAGAGAGAGAGAGAGAGAGAGAGAGAGAGAGAGAGAGAGAGAGAGAGAGAGAGAGAGAGAGAGAGAGTTATCACTGCCTTTGGCCTTTATGAGTATTGTATTTTAGATATTATATAAACCAAGACAATGTCTGAAGTAACTTTGATGAAATACATTGGCATTGTAACAAGGTGAATTCTGAAATCAGCTTGAAAAATGTTTATTTTATTTGGTTTTCATCTCATTTGATATTTGGCTTTCATCTCATTTGATTTATGTTAATATTAACTTGTTGTTTCCAGATTTTGTCAAAAGTATACATTTATAGCAACGAAAAAAATCAAAGATAATCAAAAGTAAAGACACTTTTATTTGACCAAACATACAGTATATGTTGTTGAAAGTAAGAGAACAAAAATCAAAATTACAGTAGCTTCTGCATCGTTTAAAACATTTAATTTTAGCAATGAAATTATTTATGCATAAAAAATTGCTTATAATACTGACATGCTATTAATAATTCATCTAAATAATAATGAATTTGTTTTGGGAATTGACATGGTTAACAGTCTATGAAATCTTTCCCCGTTAGAGTCGATATGTACTGAGAACAGTTCTTACTAAAATGTATTTTTAGAAATCGATCTACAGCAGTTTTATATATTAAAATAAAGACAAGAAAAGGGAGTATTTTTATTTTATTCTTATTCCTACTAAATACATGGTATGTTTATGTAAGATGAAAGGAGACATGCCTACGATATATCGTCTGAAAAATGAATTAAATGCTTATTACGCATAAGCAAAAATCGATAGAAAGAACAAAATCATATGCTAATTTAGGAACTGTGTGAACCATAATTACTTTCCACACATAGATGACTCTCATTATTTTACATTCCACAAATGCAATTTTTCCGTTGTGATTGTAATTGTATTATTTGCATTAATTGTAATATGAGGAGGCTTTATCAGAATATGATACTCTCTCTCTCTCTCTCTCTCTCTCTCTCTCTCTCTCTCTCTCTCTCTCTCTCTCTCTCTCTCTCTCTCTCTCTCTCTCTCTCTCTCTCTCTCTGCTATATCTCTGAACTATATGTATTATTAGTATTACTATAATTAGAATTCATGTTTTGTACTTTGTATATATAATTGACCTAATGGAGTGCACCTGAATAATCTGATGACTTATTTTCTGAATGCATCGCCATTTTTATGCTAGAAAGAATACAGTGTTTGAAGAGGGACAAAATATTTCATGGATTACCACTGATTTTAATGATTCACATCATAGAAAGGATTCTCAATACGCATTGAGAATTTTGGTAAACGGTGAATCCAGTATTCCACAAACTTGTCACCGTTATACGTCCGAGTATAAAACAAATCAGTCAACGTGTTTATTGGTGTATTTATATATATATATATATATATATATATATATATATATATATATATATATATATATATATATATATATATATATATATATATATATATATATATATATATATATATATATATATATATGGCGTACTACACTATTTCACAGAGACAGCTTCGGTGTCCTAGTGGCTAGAGCGTCCGCCTCAGAGGCGGGAGGTTGCTGGTTCGAACCTAGGTCGTGTCATATCAAAGGCTTATTAAAAATGGTACATTCTACAGTAAGATCTTAGTGTTAGGACTGGTCTGCTTGGTGTCAGTTAAATGTGACTGGGTGAGACACATGGTGCTACATTTCTGCGGCGTGATGCCCCAGAGCTAAGCGATATGACGGAAAAACTATGAAATCTACGTTAAAAATCCAAATCGTACTCACACACGCGCGCGCACGTACACACGCACATTATTTCATAGATACCATATACTGTATGACATGGTTGTTTACTTTAATATATCATCATTTATGGGTATCTAATTCAAATAAAAGAAGAAACTTGTGGTTGCTCCTCGGATATATTTAAAGGGGAAACAATCCTTGTAAGCGTGTATAGCAGGCCATTATGTAATCCATTAAGTAATGCATGTCCCTTCTTGAAGCCAGTTTTGTGCAAAATGTGTGCATGCACTTATTGTGTCATGAAGCAAGCCATGCATAAGATCAATAAACAAAAAAATTATATCGATTATTCAAGAGCATGAAGCTTCAAACTGAAATTTGAGTTGAGAGAAAAAGATACAAAACATACAAACATAGCGTTAGACCTTACGATCCAAATGTATTTCGCAGCTTAACTTGTACAGCAAAATTAAACGCCATAAAATTGGGAACAGAAGAAAGAAGGATATAACTTGAAATTTAGTTCTGTGGACACATCGGACATGGAAGGCCACTGTTTTAGTTTTCCAAATTTAACTGCTTATGGCAGTTTTGGATACAAGCATGTATGTGCATGTCCGTGTATGTAAACATTCTGTGTACATACGTATACATCATGAATATTATATGTACATATTATTCAATATAGATTAAAATGTCTTTAAAGAATAGCTTTATGAATGTATCTGAGTTTTCCAATGGTAAATAGACGCAATGATGGATATAGCAAGAAAACCGATCAACTAATGTAAAATCCTCTTTTAATAATAAGATTACATGCAAAAGCTCAAATTTATTTTAAAATACATGTTTTAAACAGACTATTGTGAGTATTTCTACAATGTTATTTATAGCAGTTGTTACAGAAAAAGATGATTAAAAATCACATACATACATACATACATACATACATACATACATACATACATACATACATACATACATACATACATACATACATACATACATACATACATACATACATACATACATACATACATACATACATACATACATACACACACATACACACATACATGCATACATACATACATACATACCTACCTACCTACCTACCTACCTACCTACCTACCTACCTACCTACATACATACATACATACATACATACATACATACATACATACATACATACATACATACATACATACATACATACATACATACATACATACATACATACATACATACATACATACATACATACATACATACATACTTACATACATACATACATACATACATACATACATACATACATACATACATACATACATACATACATACATACATACATACATACATACATACATACATACATACATACATACATACATACATATTATTGCCAATTTTGCTATACTTCATCCATATTTACTGAACCCCTGAACAATTTGTTGAGTAAAAAATGCAAGTTTCGTTAGTCTGACAAATGTCAGGAAGACTTTGAAATATTAAATGCCATACTGAAGTGTGTAATCTTTCTTTTATCTTCAAATTTAAGTCAATTATTTTAAACATTTGTTGATGCAAGCGATTTGGAGATGGTGGAGTATTGATTCAAGAATAAAAAATGATTTCGATCTTCCAGTATATTAGTTTTCTAAACAAATTAAACAAGCACCAGATAAATTATTCCACAATCGATGATGAATGTTTGACTTTGATATTGACTTTGCAACTATTTGCAGTGGATATGATTCAGTTTGTTGTTGGGAGGTTTTTGGCTGTTTTTTTTTTTTTCATTTATCACAACCATATTATTTTTATGACGAAAATGGGGGGAAAATCCGAGATTATTCAGATTGGGTTTGATTTTGCAGTGTCATGTATATTTAATTTAAACTGTTTATTAGTCTTATATTAATGATTAAATGTTATGTACAATTGTATTTTGGACTTGACCTTGTCCAAAATAAAATTCACAGTGTAACTTACTAAGAACACTGATGTTGTTTTGATTTTGTTTAAACAAATAAAACATAGTTAATATTTCCCTATGACTGTGAATAAAATATTAAAATATTAAAATCATTTTCATAGTCTGAGTCAAGGACATTGGTATTCTCCAGTTGTAGCTGATGTTTGTCATATTTTTATCATAATTTTAGTAATAGATTTTATCTAATCTTATCTTAAAATTGTTGAAATGAACTTTGGACCTACAGCTTGGGTCTTCTTTTGTGTCTTAGTTTTCATATATAATCTTGTTTAATATAATATTATAATTATAAATATATACCAGACAGAACAGACTGTGCTATCCCTGGATTCTGTAGTAGAATCTTGATAATATTGGGCAGAAATAATAGTTTAATAAAAAACAATACTATCCTACAGGTTAGAGAAATTAAATTCGTATTCTACCGAGTTTCGAACCCAGGTCCGCGAGTAAATAAACGACTGTGTATATATATGAGAATTATTTACTAGGTCGTCATGCTAGTGTGTCTGGTACGCACGAGCTTATATAACACCGATTCAGTGCCATCATTTCTTTGGTGATGCGTGCTTAGTCGTGACGGTATATGGGCTGGTGCGTGCAGGCAAGGCGATGGGTGCCATTTACTCCCGGACCTGGGTTGGAAACTCGGTAAAGTACGAATTTAATTTCTCTAACCTGTATGATATTATTGTTTGTATTATATTTAATTTGGATTGTGATATTACATTTATCCTAAATTGTGGGTTGTTGTTGGGCCTACCTGACTAATATGTTTTGTAAACAACAACTATATAGCTAATTTTTATCTATGATTGTAGATTATATATTAAGATTACTACAATTTGTAGGTAAAGATGTTTACCTAGATAGGAACTCAGGATATGTGTTTTCCTGCCGGGATTTCTGTTCTATCTGCTGTTAGCAATGCATCTGATAAAATGTTCTAGAAATAGATGTTTGACTCTCATTTCTTTTTCGTATTGTGACTTAGGTTTTATATAAGAGAGAACTAAACAGGAATTATGTATTTCATATCTTAATATCTGTCTTAGTGGAATCAATTTAAGTTGTATTTCAGCTAATATTTGAGAGGATTTATTTATTTAAATTATTCACTGGAATTTTAAATAGCTCAGCAATACTATCTGACTAAATCACTAAGTTAGATTAGTGTAAACTCATTTAGATACATTCTGGAGTATATCATTGTGATACGTCTAAACTGTTAGCACATCTGCGCCTCTCCATACTATTAGAACATCAGTACTTTAATTTGGCGGTCTACAGTTTCGTATTTTGCATATGTTCAGAATTGTAAAGAACAAAAATTTTCCAGGGTTTCTTTACTGGTTATACTGATAATTAAAAAGTCCTTGTTTTTGTCATGTATTGTTCATACAACATTTAATTCCTTTTATTTTGCTGTATGATTGATAACATGGGTAATAGGGTATACAGCTTGTCCTTAGTCCTGATGTGCATTTTTGAAAAAGTGCCAGCTCCGCTTGGTGATTTTCACTCCCCGAAATTGGGATATAAATTGTAGAAGTAAAACTGTCCTTTAATATTTCATATATTTTAAGTCATTCATTGCACTTTCAGAAGCTAGTATTGTCTAGTCTTGCAAAATTATTTTTTTCCCAATTTTGATAGCTGCTAAACATAGTGTAATTTAGACTAATTCAGGATGACATTTTAGCACAAGTTGGCAGTCATTTTAGTTAGAGGTATGCTTAGATCATGTACAATTTTCCTAGCACAATTTCCACATGTCAACCACATTACATTAAAGTAGCATAGAGATATGCCTATATTTTTTCCACTGTGCATGTTTCAAATGCAAACAACTTCACCTTACATACGTCATTCTCTCCAAAGTACATAGTAACTAGAAAGCGCCCCCTTTCAAGATTACATTTTATTCGGAGCAACATTGGAATTCATTCGGAATGCTCTGTAGGTTTGGACGTGTGATAGAAGTTAAGGGCTATTTGGAATTAATTCACAAAACTGCAAGTTCTTTTTTAAATTTTCACATTGTTTTCATTGAAATAAACTATTTGTAGAATTGTACTAAACTTATTGGTTTTAGTTATTTTATGTTACTTAATTTAATAACTTAGAGTCGTAACAATTGTATGTTATCAAAACGACATCACTGTATTACTTATGTTTTATGGAATAGCTATACTCTCAGGTACAGCCTGAATTTAAAATGCTTTTTGTACTTTAAAAAATAAATATTATACATTTATATCAATCCTTTATAAAATCAAATTAGGTTAGATTGGTTAAATTCACACCATGTGACTCCGTAAGTTTTAAGTTAATATATATTTAAAGTGCAAATTGTACCTAATCAACCACAAAGTATAAGTCTGAAGAACTATATTCAACGTTTTGAGTGATTAAGTAGAATTTACAAATCAATAACTATACAGCCATAATCGTTTAATCAATCTAGTTCCAAGTTTCCCCCCTTTATGAGATAAAATCAGCAACTTCCATCAACAAATTTGATTTTAAGCAGCTCGTGCATTACTTTCATTAACAGATTCACATGGCGAAAGATTATCTACCGCGTCACGATTCCATAGTCTTAAACTGAGTAACAGAAAAGAGACAAATCAGCAAGTTTAGTAAAATTTAATGAATAATTTAATTCCTTTGAATACGAAGCGAAAATTTAAAAGATTCATGAATTAAACCCGAATTGTCCTAAAAGTTCTTAACTTTGATGATGTGCTAGCAATCTTCTTGGTGTATCACAGTGATATAATCCAGTATATCCCTGAATGAATTCACAATAATTCCAAAACAATGATATTGTTCTAAAGTCAGTCACACTATAATTCCAATGAATAATTTTAATAAATTAATTTCTCTCAAATTTTAACTAAACACATTGAAAGGACTGAGTCCACTACGGATGTTAAGACAGGAGTGAAGAATTTGTGTAAATAACCTTAATATAAACACCAATGACTTAAAAAAATAACCATAATGAGGGTCGAAAGTTCATTTCTAGAACATTATAAGCTGTCAACAAGATCAGTATTTTTTTTAAATTTAAATTTTCATAAAGAACATGAGAAATACCAGGTAGGCCAGGAGTTTCCGAGGGGAAAGTCATTGTCCTGAACCCTGACCCAAGTAAACAGGTTTACCTTACAAATAAAATTTATTTTAAAATATAAACTGCATTCATAGACAAAAGTTAGTTATGCAATATGTATCACCAGGAACTATCCAACTTTTGGGACAGATCTGCGGTTAAGTCGTACCGTTACTATTACATTGGGATGATTCTGCATCCCACGCATGCGTCAGCAATTTAAAATTCAAGTTTGTTAACCGACGATACACATGTGTTCTTTTCGGTTCTGATAGGGATTAATACTTAAAATGTGAGCGTTCTTAAGGATTCCATGTCACGGGTCAAAAGAAAACGGATTTTATTTACCATCTTTATGCAAAGATCAGTCAAAACAACTTTATGAATTACTAATGAGTGACAAATAGTCCGGCCTTTAAGAAGCTGAAAACTTCATTCCAAAGAGTGCTAAACATCGCTGGTCTCCGTTACCAGTAATGTCAAAAAGAAAAGGCAGATAACTACTTCTTGATCTAATAGATTGTCACATTGACTTTTTATTTATTTATTCCATTATATGACTAGGCTGCTAATTTATTCCAGCCTTTCATGGAAGAGAGATAAATGGTAATAGCACAAAATTCCTCTTGATTAGTCAGATTTTTTAACATATTTTTTCTGATCTTTTTAAAATGAATGTCTAATAATTAAATGTTGCCCGAAAGGCACTATTGCTATTCTTGGTATGCATGAACGTGAACTATAATCTATATTCACTAATGTAATATTTGACAAGCAGAACTATGATGCAATGTTTATTTTTGCATTCTAGTTCTATTCATAGGCCTCTCAAATAAATCGAAGGTGCATGTATGACTCATGGTACTAATGATATGAAAAAATGGGAACTAGTTTAGAAATGGGTGAAGACAAAAATAGTTTCTATAAGTTTGGCTAGCCAGGATTGGTTGATCATGAAAGTAAAAAAATAATTGTTTGAGAATTTAATCATAGTTGTAACAGACAAAATAGAGAATGTCACGCTGTGTGAGAAAATAATTTAACATTTCCTGCCTCATGTTTATAAATGTGTTCTGATAGAATTCGTAATTCAAAGCTCTTAGTGTAATGTAAATACTTGTTATGTGATATTACAAGTTTTTAGTGTAATGTAAATACGTGTTATAATATTACAAGTTTAGACAGATTCTGAAACACAGAAATTACATGTCCGTGCCTTAGCCATTGTGTTACGGTCAACTCACTTCAAAGATACCCTTGCCACGGTTGTGAGAAACTGTTCGTTTTGTAATCAGCAGTGATGTCGGCTTAGTCTTAGAGACGAGAAAACCCGACATTATAATGTATACTACCCAAGATAGTTTTCAAAGAAACCAGTGGTATCTAGTCAGAACTAAGACAGTCAAATTTGGGGGCATGTTTCTCCCGCTGCCAGACATTATTCTGTTACATTCAATTGGAAAGAATTAGTGCATGTTTGGATGTGGACAGGGTTGGGAGACTCTGGACTGCACGCCGAGAGCAAACTAGGCACTCGAAAAAGAGCGGGGGAAAGAGTTCTGGGAACTTCGAACAAGATTTGGAACAAAGGCTTCTGAGGAAGCTTTCTAGGTGTGATAGGACGCCACCCGAAGATTACAGAGAGGAGAAGACGTGGAGGACAGGGAGAATAAACCGTAGTGCGAAGGCTCATAGCCTAAGACGGAAACAAGGATACCGGAAGTACCGACAAGGAGGGCTGAGAGAACGGAAATAAAGGTACAGGAAGTACCGACAGGGAAATACAAGGTATTAGTTATAGCTGAGTAACATAGAAGGGACATGGGGAGGAAACACTCTCGCCTTTGATTTCGCGTGATGGAATAACTGGCAATTTGAATACGTCTTGTATTAATTGGAGGCAATTGCAGTGAAAAATTGTCTTGCAATTGTTGAATACCGTGATATATACTTTCTTAATTGTTATACCTTTCACCTTATTATTTTATAATTTCTACACCTAGACCATCGCCTTTACTGACTGGGGACTCGGAACTATTTAACCACTAAACTGTTCATCCTTCTCCGCGGTTAGTAATAATTCCGCAGAGGGCACGGTGACAGAGACAATGTTTTTATTACAAAATACCAATCCTTTTACACACTTGAGTTGGAAAACTCAGTACTGAAATTAGCACCTGACGTTTTGTGCAGAATTAAAAACGCATGCTTTAAACACGTATAGATTCAGAAATGCCGTGGCTTATATGGTTTTCTTTACAGTGAAGCATCAATGATATGTCTCTGTTGAGAAATATAGCGACGATCGTGAGCATTCAGAAATTTGACTATCATGTTTCCATCGTGTTCCTATGGGAACTGAATTAGTACCGTGAGTCCTTAATAGATTTTAAATTTCAAAATTAATGATGATGTATAACTATTTTTGTACAATTATTGAACAATGTTTTAAAGATCGCAGAATGTTATAACAAATATCAAAATTAGGAATGATATGAGGAAATTATTTTCATGATAATAAATACTTGAAAATAATAACATCAGAAACAATTATATATTTTTGTTTTGATACTTTTGACAAGTAAAAAAATAAAATTAGAAAATGTCAGTTCCATTGTTATTGGTTAGTCAATTTTCATTATACATAAATATACAATTTTATGAAAACACAACAAGAAACAAATAACAAATAGCAGTGTATAGTACTGTTGAGCAAAAGAAATACCTCTAAATGCTGTATTCAAAATACTTTAAAGAGGGACCAGCCCAACCAAACCAATTTTTGAGGATGTGTTTCTAACCTACTTCAATATCAATAAACGTGACCAAACATAATACTTTTATGAATCAAGTTCGTATATAATGTTAGGACTTAAACCTATTGGATATAGATTATCCAGACTGGCAATCCAATATGTCTCTTTTAATAGACGTTCCGTTTCCGAATCAACAATCTCAATATCCTTAAATGGCAAATCTTGTAAATGATGGAATCCGTCAATAAAGTGTGTGGAGACATCTAAGTAAAAGGATTGATGGAAATTTTGTTTATGTCATATCTGTGTTTGTTCATGTGTTTAGATAGTACTTGACGGGTTTGTCGAACGTATATCTTATACGTTATCAATCACAACACAGTTGTTGCACAGTCTGCACAATCACTTTATCTTAACTGTTTCTTTCATTTTACTGCTACTGAAATAAGTATTGTCATAAAAAAAAAACAGTGCGAACATCTGCGTCTATTTTAACATTAAATATCCCTAAATAAGAACGTGGAGCTTGATCACGTGTGCTGTAAATATGGCAATAAAATGTTTAAATCAAAAAAACTTTAATTCCCTTAGTATTTAAATATAATTGTGAACTTTATGTCAGAATGAACATGTCCAAATCACCTTTTAGAGTTCTTCATAATTGATAACATAATAAAATAAAATAGACAAACAGTCATACATATAATTATATTATTATAAAGGATATACCATTTATCAATTTAAAAAATAAAATGAAATAAACAATTTTATCAAATTTTATAGTACATTGGTATTATGGCCATTTGGATACAAAGTCTAATTTATGAATCCAATAAATTTCTTTTATGAGTTCATTCATGTCTCCATGCACTATATATATATATATATATATATATATATATATATATATATATATATATATATATATATATATATATATATATATATATATATTGGCATGAAGGAAATATCAAGCAGAGAGTGATTATTGGTATTAAAATGTGTTGAAATATTAGAGAAAAACTGACTATCTCTATTAAAAAAAAATTATATGAAAGCGATGATTATTCATTCTCTTAGAAACTTGTTAATAGAGTTACTTATGCTTTTTCCTTCGACCTCTATATTATTTATGCTTTGTTACACATGTTAAGTTCTTCTATTTATTAAATCTGTATAACGTCAACTTTGTAAAATAGCAATACCAGTCGTGATGATGAAAGCCAAGCCAAATAAACAATTGGACGTAGTTTGTTATGTGTGCTAAAATCATATAGTCGAGCGAAAGAATATGGGTGTGATTTGGATTTTTCACGTAATAATTTTCCAGTCATATCTCAACAATGTATGCAGTGTGGTAGTTTATAGTGATGACAAGCACTGCAGTATCATGCAGCAGACATGTAGCATCATGTCCCACCTAGTCACATTATCCTGACACGAAGCCGACCAGTCCTAACAAAAACATCTTAATGCTGAGCGCCATGCGAGACAGCTGCGAGAAACTATTTTTTTTTAAAAAAAAATCTTTTGTATGACTTGGCTGGAGTTCGAATCCGCGATCTCCCGCATCCTAGGCGGACGCTGTAACCACTTGGGCCACCGGAGTAGTCTACAAATCGAGGTGACCTGTCATGTGGGCGAAAATGATAGAGTCAAGACAAAGTATACAAACCGAGATGATCTGTCCTGTATGCGAAAATGATGAAGTCAAGCCAAAGTATACAAACTGTCCTGTGGGCTAATATGATGGAGTCAAGCCAAAGTATACAAACTGAGGTGATCTGTCCTGTGGGTGAAAATGGTGTCAAGCTAAAATATACAAACCTAGGTGTTCTGTCCTGTGGGCGAAAATGAAGTTAAGCTAAAATATACAAACCTAGTTTTTCTTCATAATCGTATCATATTTAGCAGCATATTGTTTTTTTTTTTTTGTTTTTTTTTGTTTGTTTTTTTTTTTTTGGTTTTTTTTTCTCATGTTGAGTCAATAATCTTCAATCTGTGCAACTTTTAAAATTTTTTAAACATTCTGTCATCTATTATGGTATGGACAATTTGTCACAATGTACTTTTCAAAATATTTTGTTTCTTTCTATGTAATTACCATTATCTTGGGATGAATGCTCAATCAAATGTTATGCAATCAAGCCTACGTCAACCTAAAAACTGAAAATGTGATTTTGGAATATTTGGACCCTTAGTTATAAAATTTGAATATTTTGAACAAATTAAATATTTTCAAAAACTTTATTTAAAGCGATTATGAAAGCCCAGTCCCTCTGAAGGAATACGTGTTTGAAACATCAATAAAAATTCTTTACAAAATATGAGATTAGTGTATATTTTAAAATACCAATGAAAATAAAAATTTTAAAAAGATGAGAAAAAAAAACATTTGCGTCAGCCGGGAATCGAACCCGGATCGGCTGCTTGGAAGGCAACCATGCTAACCTTTACACCACCGACGCTTTTGATAATCACTGTTTATGGAACTATAAATCGAAGTATTCTTTATGCCTACACTTCAAATTTTAATTTGATAATTTGGATTCGAATTGTAATGGAGCTTTAATAATTCTTTTTAGTCATATTGCTACCATATCTGCAGTGTGCTAGTTATAGTGACGTCTAGCGCTGGGGAATCATGCCGCAGACATGTAGCATCATGTCCCACCCAGTCACATTATCAGTGTCTGATTTAGGACAAATGTGGCTTTTTTTTTTATATTTAAGTTATAAGCCCCTTACAATGAAAAAAAAATCATCGTATTTTGTTTTTCTTTTGGCCAAGAAGATGGGCCCCCTGGCCAAATGGTAAATCCAGTGCTGCACTTTATCCTGACCCCGAGCCGACCAGTCCACTAACCTCCTAATGCTTAGCGCCAAGCCGTTAGTACCATTTTTATAAGTCTTTGGTATGACTCAGCCTGGGATCGAACCTCCACCTCCCGCATCCTAGGCGGACGCTTACGTGATTAAGTGCAACACCATCGACCGCTTAAGTGAATTGACTTGAAGGGATAACAATTTACCGCTAGCAGCGCAGAAACTAAATAAGCGTAGTTATTAAAAATTGTAATAAATTTGATACAGAAAACCTTCTGCTCGTTCACACACACACACACACACACACACACACACACACACATGCGCGCGCGTCTGATTGTCTGATTGTTGAAGATAATTGTAATATTATTATATAGAAACACTAAAACAGCTCCAATGAGATAATTTTTCTTATTAGGTAATGCTATTCCAATTTCAAGTAAAATCGGAGCACTGTCTGTCACATTCTGTATAGTAAAAATCATGCAGGTAATATATTTGTTTAGTACCAACTTTCTGAGTAATGGTGTCATCGTTTAGAATTTGATTACACTTACCTTTAGATGACGATTATTCGTTGTATTTGGATGGTAGTTTACAATTGACAAAATGTTATAGTACGTGGACAGTTTTGGATGCGGTCAACCTAAAGGTTAGTCTGATAAATCCCCCTCCCAAAAAAAAATATGTGTTGACAATGATGGAAGTTGTGTGGCTGTAAATAATTGCAGCTTTCAATGAAAAGGTGATATCAGCCCCTAACCCGAAAATAGACATCAAGGGTGATGTGCTGAGTTATCGACCTACCTAAAGGTGTGATCGTGTACAAACACCATTGAATGTCACGAGCTTTAATGTCACAATAAAACCTATGCGTGGGGGGGGGTCATACTGCTCTATATTTTGGGTGATTATGTCTCAGGTAAACTAATATTTTTGTCGCATCCAAAATATCGAAGAAAATGTCAGCTGAGTTATATATGATCAATTCGTGATTATACTGGCAAAAAAATATTTTTACTATGTCTGATGGTTCAGTGCATTTAGTATTAAGAACCTTACATGTCTTTGATGATAATAAAAAGCTGCTCATCGACGACAATTTATTAAATCATTCCCGGTGCCTTTACAACTGAACAAGGACTCCGTGATGGTGTTCACGATTGTAAATAATTTTTTTCAATTGTCGTACACGTGAACTTATAATAGTATTTGTTTCTTTTTCGCGTAATAACTCTGATCAAACTTTCTCAATTGCGTTTGCAAATGAAACAAATTTGAGGTTGTTTTTTTCATCATCGACATAAGTACCGATTGTTTCATCGCTTGTTGTAGCTAGTTCAATCAATCCTGAGTTCGATGCTAGCTTTCCAACGACAATTCCAGTCAAAAATTTCAGCACAATTACGGATGTATTACAGTTGGCCAAATATTAGATCACAATCGTTCGTAGTATAGTCGATCGCATTTCCATTTCTGTAGCGCTTCAAAATCATTTGTGATTTTTTTCAGGATCCAATTGATCAGATAATTCTATATCATCATCATTAAATGTTTTAATCTCAGAAATAACTGAGTTAATATTTTCGGAATTCATTATATAATAAGCATAAGTTTAAAATAAAAACAAAAACTAAACATGAGCAATTACCGTTCCATAGGATACCTTCATTTGCCAGTATTTACTTTTCATGGAGTCCCGTCGTCATTTGTCAAGGTTTTTCTAGCTGACAGTTCTTTTCTTTGGGTACCCATCATGACACTTTTTTCTTTCTGACTGACATTATATGTGAATGTCATTGTATGGGGTACCTTTCATTAGGTTGAGAACTCATCAGTCTTGCTGTTTATTTTGTGGGGCTCCTGTTTTTTAAGTTTGTGCATAGACACTACCCCTTTATGAACCCCTAAAATACGAAATTTTATTCTAGTAGGTCCAGAGGGTAATCTAAGTGAACTATGTTCTCTTGTTTTCAAATAGTTTTTAAATTTTTTGCACAAATCACCCCGTTGGAGTGCAAACACAGCACCCACCACGTTGTTCGACATGGTGGGAAGGTGTACATGAATTTTATTTTTCTTTGGGCTGGAACCCCCAAAATATTAATGAAAATTACTTCAAGCATGAGAATCTGGACAACGGATCATTTTTAAAAATATATGCTTGAAACATTATAGGAAGTTACCTATAGCTGGATAACAAGCAATCTACAACTGATCGGCAAAAAACAGGGAATATTGAATAAATAACAAACATTGTATAATTGTGTTAACTTCAGTGTGGATTGTTTAATAAATTTATTTTAATTTTCAGACACTGAATAAATATACCAGACGTTATTCGGGAACTATCTATACCTGGACATCTAAAATAACCCTGGATTTACATCAAAGGATCATGGCTTATCTGTTCCTCTTGTTTTCCTGAATTAAGGAACGTAATCCTAGATGAAGTCTTGGGTGTAACGTACAAGAGAGAGGGAAAGGTCTGGTGTAACATACCCTAACAGATTCCTTGACGAAGTCAAGCGGAACAAGAAATACTGTGTGAGTTACACAATAATAATCCACGGTAGCCCTATAATATTTTACTCAGTTACAAGCGAGGCTACTGCTTAATCACCTGATCCTAACCTGACAGTTATCTCTCTTCATCCGGAGTGGTTTTGCACACAGTTAAAAGACAACTATAACAAAATTCAAAATTGATTCAACATAGAGTTAGGATTGGCGGTGTCTGCCTCCAACACAGTCGGGACATACCGAAACGTTATATATATATATATATATATATATATATATATATATATATATATATATATATATATATATATATATATATATATATATATATATATATATATATATATATATATATATATATATATATAATTCTTTGAAAACGCCGAAATGGTTATATTATTTGCGACACACTGTATCGAATGCATGCAAATATAAATATATTTGCCAGCTGCATCCGTCAATTGAAATTCTTTACTTTTGAGGGAGATTCATTACCGACGCCATTGGCGTTTATTTTTTTTATCGAAATATCGTTTGAGCTCTATATATTTTGCTATTGCATTTTACACACAGCTTTGTTTCTCCTCTAACCCCAACACCATATCGCACACGGGCTTGGTCCTACACTTCCATGCCGTACGCTTTCCATATGATGTCCATAGAATTCACTTTAGCAAGTCCGATTACAAGGAACATTATATATATATATATATATATATATATATATATATATATATATATATATATATATATATATATATATATATATATATATATATATATATATATACATCAAAAGTAAAGAATTTCAATTGATGGATGCAGCTATGCAGAATAACCCCTGAATTGTCGAGGCGAGCTTTGATTGATTTGACGAATAAACTTTAATCACTCGTATCCGTGAAGCCAAGAGAGAATTTCGCAATGATGACGCGGCTCATGTGTGGTCAACATTCAGAATTATGCAAGACGTCGATGCTACAATGAATGACAAGTTAGCATGAAAAATGATTAAGTATCGTCACGCTCTACGAACTTACGAACAAAAACATTTTTTAAAACTTATCTTTTTGGTAGATACCGCGTTGGTAGGCGACACATGGATCATGCGTGACATACATGGCCCTGCTCGATTATATCACGCTGTATATATTGTCATGTTAAATAAAAATTAAAAACTAGGGATACTGAACATTTCTAGCTTGAAATGTGTTGCTGGGCGAGTTATAGAACACTTTACAAACGCGATGCGTGGCTACGGTTT